ACATTGTAAATGTTGACACTTTACCACACACAGACATCGGGGAATGATCTTGTTACAGTTACATGAATGATCACCACAAATTGGCATGAGGAAGCCAGAGAATTGTCGCCCAGCCAGCAGCTTTCCTCGGCTCCTTTCCTCGGGGAGTTTTCATTGACACCTCGCCGCAAGTTTTCCTCTATGTAAATATATTCACCCGAAAGACCGATGAGGCCCGCTTTTATTTTTAGGCGCGATCGTGAATGACTTACCGTCTGAATGAGTGAATGATGAGCAAATTTATCGCGGCATTGTGTCAAACTGTTTTTGGTTTTCGGCTTTCGGTTAGCCATGTGTGTGGGCCTGACATCAGACAGAGGCAAAGGCCCCGTAGCCCCATTCCCTCCAGATTCGGTATATATGCATAGGTATATATCCACTCCAGCTTGTTCTGCTTTGTCTGACAAGCGTTTAATTATTTTGGCTTGATTGCCGACTCCGACTCCTTATATAGCCGCCGATTCATTCATGTCTCGCGATGTTGTGCGTTGGGTGGCGGTGTCACATCATTGACACGATCGCAGCTGCTGTAAGTGGATGTTACAACATCTGTAAAGGTGAACACATTTAAGCTTTCTGGAAAAATAATGTTCCGGGAATTTTATTTTATAATTATCTGAAGATTTGGTAAGATTTTGAAATGGAACTAGTTTCTTTTTAATTCTTGGAATGCTGTGATTCTATATCTATCTATCTATTCTTTGAATTGGATAACAAATATGTCAAAATAATATAGTCATATTTCAGAAGTGTACATTTTTGTTTATCTGAAAGATAAGTATTGGAACATAAGAAATTCTGGGAAACATCTAAGTCTGTTAAACCTATATTTTAACATGTTATAGATATTATACAAGAAAATTATTTTATATATTATTAAAGAATGAAGCACTTAAGAAACAATGAACCAATATTGTTATTTTACTGTTAGCAACTTTTCGCTTAATATATTTTTTCAGTGCCCAAGACATTATGCGCATATTTGGAGTCAATCATTTTTCTCACGTTCGCCGATCGATTGGGTCACCACACCATCGTCTTTTCCAGGGGCTGCTCCTTCAAAGTTTAGCCGCCAACGCCCACAAATATGTGGACCCTCCCATGATTGATGGGCATCTTGCGTACAAATTAACACCGGAATTACTCCTCGTGCACTGCAGGCCAGGTTCGGCAAACTTCCAACGATTTCGACTCCACCCCAAGAGCAAAAAGATATACAGAAAAATAAGTTAAAAGTAAAAAGAAGATGCGTTTTGGCCCATTTCAAATGAAGCCGACTTTCAATTAGGCAAAAACTTGGCAACCAACCAAAAACAAAGGCGAGTTAATGAGACGACGACTGAGTTTGGCCCGAGGTGCGATCGTGACTTCGAATATGAATATGAGTGTGAGTGTGAGTGAGTCATGCGGCATGTTAATTATGAGTATGCAACTAAATCATTACATTTTAAGCCAGTGTCAAAGGCGCAGCTGGATATGCTGATTAATCGCCATGGGCAAGATCCTAGCTGGCTCTTATTAATTACGATCCAGCTCCAGATCGAGTGGATCTCCAGATCTCGATGTGGATGTGAATGTGGATGTTTCGAGGAGACGCGTGCTCAAGGCGTGAATACCATCGTCAACAAGCTAGCACCTCTCGCTCTGAATTATTGCTGAAATATTTACTGATTTATTGGCAGCCAACTCGCTTGTTGCACTTTGCACGCCATGTGCGTGTTTTTTTTAGAGAGGGAGAGGTTCGAAGATCACTGGGAAAAAACAAAGCTTCTTTTAGAAAAAATTATGAATAAAATAATCCATTCTAGATCAATATATCTTAAGAAAGTAACACATTATATATGTAGGTTTTTTTTGGATCTTTTTGGGAATAGAAAAGGGAGATATCACAGGGAAAGAAATGTTGTCCCATAAATTAAACCTTGGAGAGATTATCTTTAAAAACTTTAATAATTAAATTAATTTCGACAACAAATGGTTATAAAATTTTCTAGAAAGCCTTTATTTTCTTTGAATAACTTCTTTACATTCATAGAATTTCTTCATACTTATACGTCTTACTCCCCATCGTATAACATCTTTTTCAGTGCTTGTGCAACCTTGTTGCAATTAGTTTTTGCATCACCACCCAGCGAGTAACCGTAGCGTATCGTCTTACCTTTTGGGCCAACCTTGAACTGGCCAAGACTGAGGCCCTAAATCTGGCTCTGTTCTCCAGTGAGCCACATGACGCGACTTGGCAGCAACTGCAGCTCATCTCGGTTCAGTTCGGGCAAACTTCCGTGTAATTAAGTGGCGTTCACAATGCGCTCCACCACCCATTGTGTGCTGGATTCCAGACAGGACCAGGACCAGGAGCCTCCTCCTCCGTATCCATCTCCATATCCATCCCCATCCCCATCTACTTTTTCTTCTTTTTTGCCCTCGATGGCCCCACAGACAAATTCTTTGTGAAAAGCCAGACAAGCGAATGCACATGATTTCAACGAGGAGACGTCGTCGCAAACTGGATTTGGGCGCCAGTTAGCCACAATGGAGAAGGATGTCTCTAACAGTGATAAAACGAATAATAAAGTACCCTAAATTTATGAAAAAATCTAAGATATTGAGTACTAAGTTTATTTTAATTTTTTATGATAAAAATAAAGTATTATTTATGTGCTAAGTAGCACATAACATCAGTTAATATATACAAAAATGAACTGAATATTTCCCTAAATGTAAAGAAATATTGTATAAGAAATGTATTCTAAATTCTTAGGTTTTAAAATGACATTTTTTATGTGATGAAGAAACTACAACATCATTTAAGAAACAAAATTAATTACTAAAAAATCCGTTAAGTCCATTAATTCACATTAAAGTAAGGGTAAGAAAATACTCGAAAGATATAGAGACCAAGATAGATGGCCGGAGAGCCCAAGCTCATGACATGGCCATTGAAGCGGGGTTTGGAGCCAGTGGGAAATATGATAAATTGGGCGCTAACTCCCCGACTGAAGGCAGTTCCTTCTCTGACAAAATCTAGTGGCCAAAATCTATTGCCAAAGTCCGGCTCCACATCTTGAATTCCGGCACCGTAATTTGAGGCCATTTCGGAGCATGGCAACGAAATAAAGTTGTCAGCTGCTCCATGGCGCAAAATGCAAATGATGGCCATGGCCATCCTCCTTTTTGGCCACAGTCTGCTGTTAATTTTTGGTACGTGTCCCGCAAATTGGACTATCGTGGCCTGCTGAAATGTTTCTAGAATTTCAAAGCCGTTTAATCGATGTGGTGGCATCCACGAATCTCCATCCCAGCCAACCGGTTGCCACACACTCGGTGGCTCCAAACCAGAAGCTCTGCGGAAGCGGTTAATGTTAATGAAACGGGTTTGGATCTGAGGTCCGGACAAGGAGATGAGTCCAGTTTATCTATTCAAAACACTCGGGGTGCTAGAAGTGGGCCACATGGAAATCAATATTAATATGATTTGTGATGACATGCAGTGAACAACTTTATTCGAAAGAGTATGCTGTAACTGGGTCAGGATTTTAATAGTAATTTATACCTAGTATTGACTGACAATAAGATTATTTACAATATTTTTTAAGAATTATATCTTTAAATGAAAATATAACTATAATATGCGAAATTAACTGCTTTCCCTTCATATATCTTATTTACATATTTTATTTAATTAGTATACTTTTTTTTTAGCAAAATAAAAAAGTCAAAAACCAGCAATAAATATAGTTTTCAAAACCCAAATGAACATCAACTCTTTTATCATCCGAAAATGTAACTGCATTTTTATTAAGTCCACCGAAACAAACCCTCAACATGTCATATGGGCAGCTCATTAACGCCAAAGCCAAGGTAATTTAGTTGAAACCCTTTGACAACAAAGTGCATGTGTACTTGGCACTTTTATTGATATAGCTTCTATCGATTGCCCGCTATAAAATCGATCATTAGCGCTGTTAATTTGCAGCGACAAAGAGTGCGACGCGTTGATGGCAACGCTTCAACAGTTCCAGTTCAAATACACGGAAAAAAATTACATACAATTGTTAAACAGAAAATTATTATATTAAAAAAAAAATTTGGCAAAATATTATGGAAAATAATAATTATAAACTAGACTTTTATTCCAATTTTATAATTTATGTTTCTATATATCATTGCTAAAATATAAATCTCGATAATAAATATAGAAGTTCGATTAGAATAAACCTTTTGGCTATGATATTATATCTATACTTTTTTGTAAGCAACAAAAACAATCAGATAAATATATGCAAAAACCTAAAGAAACTATTAAAATAAAGGTTAAGTTATTTATTATGATTATAAGCAAATTTTTAAAAGCACCTCCATTTATAATGTTATGTTATGTTAGGCTACTGATACATTAAAATATCTTTATTAACTTTTATTTTCTGTGCAGCAATACCAGTTTAATTTCCACAACAGGCGGAAAGGGTGCAACGGTCATAAAAATTAAAAGCAAATTACGAACAACTGCACAGCAGTTAACTCGACGATATTAGCACAGTTCGCAGCGGGTCGATAATGCCGATCGATCGATTGACTGAATGAGTGGATGACTAAATGACACCGAACCTCTGGCGCTGACCATGCGCGACCTTTTGTCACTTCATAGCCGGGGCGGAGAGGGGGCTCCGGGGTCAGGGGTCAGCAGGGGAGTGGCCCAGGAGGGGGAGGATGAGGTGACGGACGCACCTTAGACGTTGACGCCGACTTCCGTTTGGCATTGAAGCGCAACCGTTTGAATTTCATCGAAAGAGTTAAGCAAGTAGAAAAAGGGTAAGGGGTGGAGTTGGAAATACCTTTTATGGATTATATATTTTCAATATTTATTTTTAAGTATAAGTAATACATTTGTTTTTATTTTATTTGTTAAAAAAAGGTATTAAAACTTTATATTTAGACAAACAAAAACAGAATACTTTCCTTAATATCATGTCTAAAATTGCATAATAAACCACTTCTTTACAGATTCTTAGGATCTCTCTTTTTTGAATAGTTTTGCTTAGTTATAATATACCCTTTTTATACCCTGTACTCAGTAGAAGAGTTAAACCCAATGGCAACAATTTGAGTGCCTAATGACGCAGAGTAATGAAGTCGCCGCCGCGCCCCCAAATGCAGACTCTGTCTCGGAAGCCCCTGACGCCAGATGTACACTGGAAAAAAAGGATATAATATCTAGAATATATAATATAACCTAATAAAAATTTAATAATGATCCAAGCAACTTAGGGAAAATATAACGGGTGTTACCTCTAATATTAAGAATATGGATTCACCGAAGAAGTCCTTTCCATTTTTCTGTTTTTTCTGGACTGTTTTTTCAGTGCTATAGACCATACTATACTAAACAATTCTGCACCGGACCTAACCCAACCCAACCCCTTTTTTCGCGCTTGATGTGTCGTTGATTTGCCGCTTCCAGTCCGGTAGACTGGTGCTAAAAATCGTCACAGCTGCGCAACATTTCGAATTGAATGACTTAATGTGCAGCATTGTGTCATCAATATCCGCTTGCATCGGATGGGTTAGGATCGCATGGGATGGGGTTGGGGTTCTGTTCTCGGCAGGTTTACAGGGTCAACTGCCCGTGACAAAAGTGTGAATTACGTCTGGCCGAAACGCCCACTTGAGTAGGTTTGATTCTACTTGTTTCAGCCTCACTGTCGTCGATATATGTTCAAATATGTGTATAGTACCTCCTCCGACTTATCGACCCCTGTCTCACCGCCTAATCCTTCTCTTTTCGGCCGACTGACATTTGACAGTGTCAGTCAGTGTCAAGTCATCAATATGTACTTACGCCAGGCCGTTCCATCAGTTCTATCACCCGAGAGCCCTCTGAGGTCTTGGCATTCGTCTTTGTCTGCGTCTAATCCTTATGTAAATCTGTCAAATTAGATGCGATTAGTGCAAAGTGAAAAGTAGTTGCCGGCTCTTTGAGCCCTCTCACACGAGCCGACATCAACGGATTTTCGATTAGGGCCGACTTGTTGATGGCCGCCCAAAAAGTTGGAAAACTCTTTGATTTTCGGCCAGATTGGAGGGGCGCGAGTTCGGATGGTCCTATCAGGTGGGGGAGCTAGGAGCGGTGGGTTTATTATACGAAGCTGAGGGATATTGGCAATAAATTACAAATTTAAAAACTATATCTGGAGTATACACATTTAATAATGCCATAGCATAAGTTATAAAATTAAAATCAAAGTTATTCTTAAATTTTAAAACGAATACAGAAATGTATTTAACATTCACCCTTTCAATAGAGAGCATATGAAAACTTTTCTTGATTATAAAACAATTTATAAATTATAAACTTCATACTCACGTTGAAATTTTTTTTATATTTCCCACGCTTTTATTATCTCTAAACTAAAAACCGTGCAGCAATTGTCACAGCCAATAAAATTAGATTTTCATTTAAATTAATTTACAAATTCCCACGTAGGCGTTGCAGGCAAAACAAAAACAAATGCCTCAAGGAGTCCTACCCCAAAAAATAGAAGTGAAAACTTTTTAACTGCCTAATGCCAAACAAATTGGCAAATCGAATCGCTTAAAAATCGACTGAATCACGCGACTATTTCAATTTGCCGGATGGGAAAACCAGAGGGGTGAACTTCAGACGTGTGCTTAGCAATTGGCAACGCTTGGAGCGACCCTCGCACATATATATTATACCAAAAATACGGAAGTACGAACGACAGGCTCTCATCATCAACGGAAAATCATCGCGGTGGGCGGAGTGTCAGTGGGAATATCGCGATATCATAATGACACTTTCCGACGATGCGCAACTGTGACAAAATTAATTTTCAACTTGACTGCATCCGGACGGGATTGGGATTGGAATTGGGACTGGGATTGGGATTGTAAAGGGAACTGTGTGAGGGTGAAGGTCCGGAACTTCGCCCGCCGTCTGTTGATGATAATGAGACCATAGATAACGCAATTTTATGTTCCACCCGAATTTCACAAATAGTTGCGCGAATTTCCCTCGAACCCTCGCCGTAAATGTGTCCGTATCCGTGTCCGTATTTCTGGTTTCCGAATTCCGGGTGCAAAGCACTCACAAGTCAACAGCAACCGGCACTTCCACCCCTTTTGCGACCCACTGGAACACCCGAAATGGACTTTCGGCCCTGGGGCCACGCCACCGCACTGACAAATTGTTCCGCTAAATAAATCACGATTCATGATTATCGCCATGAAATCGAAATTTTCTGCTTTATTTTTCATGCCTCGGAACAAGTTATCTAATATGCTTTTAAACGGATGGGGAAAAGGGCTCCGGAAAAGGGGAACGGGTGCAGTGGCTTAAACGAATAGCTGAATTATTGATTTAGCTCGGAGTTTTGGCTTAACTCTGTGAAGGAGTTGGAAAAGAGAACTCAGATTGGGGTAGGGAAAATAAGCTGAGAGTGCTGAAAATTAGCCCAGGAAATATTTAAAAAATACTTTACAGATAAATACATTAAATTATAGACATGTGTATTTTGAATTCATCTAAAAGAATAATTTCAAATAACTTTTTTTTTAGATTTATACAGAAAATAGTATATGTTGACTCTTAAATGGTACCCGAAATTATTTTGCTATTCGTTTTTTTACAAGTACAGAAAGGTCATCAATCTAAAAAACCGTACCTTAAAAAAGAAAAGCATTTAACAAGACCCACAATTACAAGACTTTGTTAGCCAACCTGGTTAGAAATATAAACGATTTGTGTGGACTGTATGTAATTTTTATTCTTGACGGTTTCGAAGCCTATTTGATACTGGTATGAATTTCACAAAAAGACGCTGTCGTAGCAGCGTTGCCAGAATCGAAAAATGGTATATATATATATGTATATCGATATTATATTACATAGGATAGAGATGGCATTATGCGCCTAATAATGAGAGTTTATTAAAGACTGCAACCGTTCAGGAACATCCCGGCCCGCCCTGAAACACAGTTTCTGAACTGGGCAAAACGGCAATCTTCGTGATTGGTCTGGTCATCTCTCCTGTTGATGTCTTCAGCTTGACTGCTCGAACGAGGTTGTCCTTCCCTGGATAGGTTTCCATTACCCGTGCGATGTGCCAAGATGCTGGTGGTGTATTAGACTCCTTAACGAGAACTACATCACCGATCGAGAGGTTGGGTGTTGAAGTGGTCCATTTTGGACGTTGTTGCAGAGTAGTCAGATACTCCTGATGCCATTTCTTCCAGAATCCTTGAAGCATAGCCTGGATGCTTTGCCAATATCCTAATCGACCCACAGGGATGTGGCTTAAGTTAGGATCTGGCACGGTGGTTAACGGTCGCCCAATTAAGAAGTGGGCGGGTGATAAGTAGTTGTCTTCGGTATCAGATGTGTAGCATAAGGGGCGTGAATTTATCACTGCGCTGATTTGAGCAAGCAAGGTGCGCATCTGTTCGAAGGTGAGCGTTGAGTTGCCGGTGACTCGGCGCAGATGCAGTTTGACACAGCGAACTGCCGACTCCCATTTTCCTCCCCAATGAGGAGCTCTAGGGGGAATGAGTACCCATTGAATTCCGTCATCCGCCAGAGTGGATGTGACGATGTCCTTATGTTGTTGTGATGCAAGCAATTCTTGCATTTCGTTGAGGGATCGCTTAGCTCCAATAAAGTTGGTTCCGTTGTCGCTGTAGATCTTGCTACACTTGCCACGTAGGGATATGAAGCGGCGCAAGGCAGCCAAGAAGGTTTCTGTTGTCAGGTCTGTGACAAGTTCCAGGTGTATGGCCGAGGTGACCATGCAGACGAACAGGCAAATGTAACCCTTGCTGATACGTGGCTTCCGAACTTTAGCATCCTTTAGAAGGATTGGACCTGCATAGTCGCAACCAGTATTGACGAATGGAAGGGCTTGAGTGACACGCACGCTGGGTAAATCAGCCATTTGTTGTTGAGCGGTGTGGTGGCGTTGACGAAAGCAGGATAAGCAGTCGTGTGTTATTCTGCGAATGAGATTACGTGCTCCAAGTATCCAGAATCTCTGACGAACGATTACGAACAGGGAAGACACGCCAGGGTGAAGATTTACTCGGTGCTCGTGTTCCAGAATCAGCTTCGAGATTCGGTGCGTTTTTGGTAGCAAAACTGGGTGTTTCGCCTCTCGTGACAACTGCGATTGGTGCAGTCTTCCGCCTACCCTCAGCAAATCGTTTTCGTCTATCATTGGTGCAAGTTTGACCAGTTGCGATCGGTTCCTTAGGGGTTTCTTGGCAAGGAGCAATTGATAGTCCTCGTGAAAACAGTGCTGCGCGTGTTTTATACAAATGATCCTTGCTGCCTTAATCTCTTCAAATGTAAGAGCTCTAGATGCCCTATCGCAAGACGGGTTTTGTGTACGTTGAATGAATCGCTTCACATAGGCGACAATGTGAACGAGCTTGAGCCAAGAAGAAACTCGTGCGATCAGCTCATCTAGTGGATGAACCTGAGTTGCAACAGCCACTGAAGCCAAACAGTTGGACTTGACTTCTCCTTGAATGCGTTTGTCTGAAAGAGATAAACCAAAACGTGAATCGTTCAACTTTACCAGGTATTGATCATTGTCCCGAAGCCACAACGGCCCATTCCACCACAAATGGAAGTCGATGAGGTCAGCAGCCATCAGATCCCTGGAAGCGCAGTCAGCTGGGTTTGATTTGGAGTCTACGTGCCGCCAGGCCTTTCTAGGAAGAGTGTCAAGGATTTCCGAGGTTCTGTTTCCAACAAAAGTCTTTAGTTGGGCTGGTGCATAAGATAACCAGGACAGCACTATTGATGAGTCAGACCAGGCAAAAACAGTTATGTTCTTGTGGCGCAATCCAGAAGAGATCGACCGAATGAGTTGGCTTAGAAGAAGTGCTGCGCAAAGCTCCAGGCGTGGCAAGGATTGTTGTTTCAGTGGCGCCACCCTTGTCTTCGCAGCCACAAGGGACACCGAGATGGATCCGTCGTCATTTGTAACTCTGCTGTACACCACAGCAGCATACGCCTTGGTTGAGGCATCCGAAAATCCGTGAAGTTCGATATTGTCTGCGTCGTTGGCAACGAAGCGTGGTAGTTGGAATTTTTGTAGAGTGTCTAGATCTGCTCTACACTTCAGCCAGTTGTCCGCTAGTTTAGTTGGGAGTGGGTCATCCCAATCCAAGTTTAAGAGCCAGAGTTTTTGGAAGATAATCTTAAACTGTATTACAATGGGTGCCAAGAGTCCGAGAGGATCAAATATCCTGGAAACGTCGGACAAGACTTGTCTCTTTGTGCACTCAGGATTTGCCGCTAGACCAATGTTGTACGTTAGAATGTCTTTTCCAGGATCCCAGTATAGTCCGAGAACCTTAACTGGCGAAGGTTGTGCGTTGGTATCATCCTTTTCTATGAATGAGGTATTGGATACCCATTTCCCGAGTTCCAGATTTGCGCATGACATCAGCTGAATCAACTCGTCTCGGTTTCGACGTAGTTCATCCTCATTGTTTGATCCAGTAAGAACATCATCTACATAAAAATCCTCCAGTAGGATTTTTGAAGCATTCGGGAATTCGTCTTGATGATCCACGGCGAGTTGTTCCAGCACTCGTACCGCCAGGAAGGGTGCACATGACGTTCCGTATGTTACAGTGCACAATTGGAAATGCTTGATCGGATCGGATGGATCCTCTCTCCAAACGATCTTCTGGTAGTTTCTGTGTTTTTCGTTTACCCATATTTGGCGGAACATTTTTACGATGTCCGCTGAGAATGCGAACTTGTACATTCGAAAGCGTAGGCACACAGCAAATAGATCGCGCTGGATACTGGGCCCTGTGAAGAGAGTGTCATTTAAGGCCTTACCATTAGCGTCGCGAAAGGATCCATCAAAGACCACTCGCAGTTTTCGGCCTAGCACTGGGTGGTGGGGAAGAAAGAAGTGATTCCCAGTAGCGATTTCCTCTGGCGGCACCTCACGCATGTGTCCCAGATTGATATACTCCCGCATAAAGTATACGTACTGTGTCCGCAGCTGCTCGTTTTGTTGAAGCCGTCGCTCCACCGATTTGAATCGTTTGAGAGCTCCATGTAGAGTTTCTCCGAATTCAGGACTTTCCGTGTTGAATGGAAGTTCAACGATATACTTCCCGTTTTGATCGCGACTGTGGGTGGCGAGAAAGTGCTTCTCGACCTGATCGTCTTCCGGTTCCAATTTTGTGTTGCTTTGAACGTTCTCCAGTTCCCAAAACCTCTGAAGCGTGTTGTCGATATCCATTGTTGTGGTTAGTGCAATAGCGTTGCTTGAGTTCGATGTGATGAGTGAAGTGATTACCCATCCGAATACCGACGAAATAGCGATAAGATTACCCTTGTTGTCGTACATCTTTCGTCCTGTGAACACTGACCATACGTGTTCGCTTCCCAATAGTATATCTACTGGTGTGTTTGCGTTGAAATGTGTATCCGCCAGCTGCAGATCCTTAAATACCTCGAGTGTCGATGCGTCGATATTTTGCCGCTCCAGAGATGAGGTGATTCTGCCTAGCACGTGGGCATAGACAACCAAACGATCATCAGATATGCGAGACTTGATTTGCAGCGTGCTGCATCCCCTTGTCGTGTCTGCTTTTACGGAAGAGATTCCCGTAACCAAAATGCGTGATGCCGACCGTGTCAATCCGAGAGCTTGAATGCAACGCTCAGATACATAAGACAGCTCTGATCCTGTGTCCAATAGAAGACGGCATGTTACGTGGTCACCTTTTGCGTTTTTAACATACACCATAGCAGCTGGTAATATGCTTCGTTTGAATTCCGTTTGATGTGTAGATTTTGCAGTGCCTTGTGCACATACAACCTTTTGGGTGCCCGCTCCTTGGGCCACATGACTGAGTGTCACTGAGTTTGTGTTAGACGCGCTTAAGTTTTGCTCGTCCCCCTCCGCTATCTGGGCAAGATTCCCACTAGCCTGTGGATTCGTTTGGACATGAAGAAGGGAGTGATGATTTCCTTTGCATTGCCTGCACTTGTATGTTGACTTGCACCTGTTGACCCCATGACCAGGTCGCAAGCAGTTGTAGCATAGTGATTTCTCCTTCACAAATGATCGCCTCTGCAGTCCAGACATATCCAGAAACTGCTGACAGCCATATAGAGTGTGTTCCGTAGAACTGCATTTGGTGCAGCCCCTACTTTCAACCGCAACCATCGATTGTGTGATCCTTTTTGGTTTTTCAGGATGTGTTGTTGTCTTGCTTCCCTTTTGCTCAGCTCCAGTTCCTCGCAGCGAGAATCCAGAAACTTGAAGAATTCCTCTAGAGTGGGTGAATCGGTCTCCATGCTGCGCTCAATCCACCTGCGCCGTGTGTCAGCGTCAAGTTTCTCTAGGGCTAGATAGATGATCCAGCAGTCGCGTCCCGTCTGATTCACCGCATCCAATCCACGAACAATTTCGTTTGCTCCGTCCGAAACCTTCCGTAAAACTGTTGCATCGATCTTTGTAGTTGTTGGCAGGCTCATAAACTGTTCCAAAAACGAGTTTACAATGTGCCGTGGACGATTGTATCTTTCCTTAAGACGTTCCCATGCAGTGTTGTAAGCCGTGTCCGTAATTGCCAAGTGTCGAACCAAGTTGGCAGCCTCATCAACGAGTAGTGTTTTTAAGTGATGGAACTTCTGGGTGTTGGACAAATGCTGTTTGTTATGAATCGTGCTTTCATATATGTCTTGAAAGGATGGCCACTCTGTGTAGTTGCCCGAGAACCGTTTGATTTGAATTTTAGGCAATTCGCTCAGATTTGAATTCGCCGTGAGTAGCGAGTTCCGAGAATTCGCTAATGTGACGTCATCACCAACATGATCTGGCGTGTTCGGTGTGTTCTGACTTACAGCAAGTCGCTCGAATAGTTGTTGGTTTTGTTGCAGCAAGTTTAAGATTGCATCGTTGTGTGAGTGTAGCCCGTTGCTGCCACTCGCACCGCTTGTAGATGTCCCCGGTTGTAGATCATTACTCCTTTCCTTGAGAATAGCGCTTGCCCTTAGGTATTTTGCTTCATAGACCGCATTGTCAATCTCCGGATCGACATAGCCTTCCACTTCCTCGTGAAGCGCAATGCAATCGCTGAACTGGTTGAACTCCTTCCAAACTTCGTTGAGAAGATCTATCCGTGTGGTGATCTCTGTGTGTGTAGCGATCTCCGTGTGTTCAGCCCATGCCAAGACACGTGTGATGTTGGCCTTGAGTCTGGCACGGCTCTTTACTAATGATTTTAATTGTTCCATTGCAAACAATTACCAATTGAGAATCAAAGCACTTCAAAACTGTCCAAGAATCCGGAACGATGGACCAGCAATATGGTTAGAAATATAAACGATTTGTGTGGACTGTATGTAATTTTTATTCTTGACGGTTTCGAAGCCTATTTGATACTGGTATGAATTTCACAAAAAGACGCTGTCGTAGCAGCGTTGCCAGAATCGAAAAATGGTATATATATATATGTATATCGATATTA